TGGCGGCAGCGATGCGGTTGGCTTCGTAGATCGCAGCGCCTGTCTTCACTGTCCTCCTCCAGGTCGGTCGATCGAGTGCGAGCTCCTCCCAGTTGGTGGGGTTGATTTGCAGGCATTTCAGGGAGGACTTCAGGGTATCCTGCGACGAAGACAACTGACGTGGAAGTGGTTCAGACGACGTGCCTGGTTTGCGTACACCGTCTAAGTCTCCGCTCCATACAGTAGTGTCGGCAGGATGACGGCCTTGTACATCTTCAGCTTCGTGCTCAGTTGGAGACCATGACGATTCCAAACTGTGCTTTGGAGTCGACCGAAGGCTTGACTGGCTTTCGAGATCCTGTTGGCGACTTCGTCGTCGATCTTGGTGTTGCGGGAGAGAGTACTGCCCAGGTATGGGAAGTTCTCCACCACTTGCAGTTGGGTTCCATTCACGCTGATTTGCGGCGGCGCGTTGGGGGCTGTGGCCGAGTTGGGTGGCGGTTGGTGCATCACCACCTTCTTCTGTGTGTTGATGACCAGACCAAAGTTCTCGCAGGCGGCGGAGAACAGGTCCATGCTCCGTTGCATCTCCTCTTCCGAGGTGGTGTTCAGGGCGCAGTCGTCGGCGAAGAGGAGTTCGTGCACGGTGGTTGTGGATACGCGCGATTTGAAGTGCATCCGCCGTTGATTCAGCAGGTGACCGTCCGTCCTGTAGGCGATGCGGATCCCGGGGCGTTAGTCGCGGTAGGCGTCCATCAGCATGGCAGAGAACATAAGACTGAAGAGGGTAGGCGCCAGTACGCAGCCTTGCTTCACTCCATTGGTCACTGCGAATGCCTCTGAGACAGCTCCGTTGTCCGTGACTCGCGCCATCATACCGTCGTGCAGCTGCCGCACCATCTGAGTGAATCGCTCCGGACAGCCGAATTTCTGCATGATCTTCCACAGTCCTTCACGATTCACCGTGTCGAAGGCTTTCGTCAGGTCCACGAAGGTAGAGTACAGGTGGGTCCGCATCTCCTGACACTTCTCCTGAAGTTGACGGGCTGCGAAGATCATATCCGTGGTCCCACGATGACAACGGAAGCCGCATTGGCTTTCCGGCAGAAGGCCCTGTTCCAGATGGTTATTGAGGCGGTTGAGCAGGATGTGAGCGAAGATCTTCCCGCCGATGTTCAGCAGGGAGATGCTGCGGTGATTGTCGCAGACTTGGCGATTCCCTTTGCGCTTGTAGAGATGCACGATGGTTGCGTCTTTGAAATCTTGCGGGACTTCACCTTGACGTCACATCTCTTGGAAGAGCGCAGTCAGGTGATCCATTAGTTGGGGACCTCCGTGCTTGTAGACCTCAGCAGGGATCGCGTCCGATCCGGGTGCTTTCCCGCTGGAGAGTTGCTGCACGGCCCTGATGGTCTCCTGGAGAGATGGCGGGAGGT